TTCTTAATAATACTAGTAGAGAAAAGAAACCAGGGCAGAAGAGGAATAACTGCCAACAAATGAGGCAGAACATGGAATTAATCATTCTTTTATAATAAACTAAGATTCTGAATCCATTTTGTAGCCTTAAAAGAAGAAAGACTAAAAGATCAGGAAATAATCGGCACTTTGCAAAAGTGGCCACAGAATTTGCAAAAAAATCAGTCCCACATATACAGGAGACATGCTCAACAAAGCCAAATATCGGAGAATATTTATGGAGCACAAAGCCAGTGCTGTTTGGGAGAAAAGTCTCTGAGGAAGGAAATATCTTTGAAAAAGGGAAATTATGGTACTATTACTTTTATTAAAAGCAATTTTAATAAAAGTAATAGTTGTAATGTCAACTATTAAGGATTCTCTAGATTCAGACAAAGCAGAATATTTTAGAAAACAGATCATGAATTGGGCGTGGTGGCCCACAACTCTTATCCCAGTGACTCAGGAAGCTGAGGAAGGAGGATCTCAACTTCAAGGCCAGTCTTAGAAAGTTAGTGAGACTCTCTCTCAAAATAAAAAATAAAAACGGCTAGAAATGCAGTTGAGTGGTAAAGTACCCCTGGGTTCAATCTCCAATACAAATAGAAAAAAGAAAACAGATTGTATAAATATATGTATGTTTGTGTATTTATCCAATATATTTAGTATTTTTATATTGTTATATCAATGTATTAATTATTTTATAACTATGGTAATAAAATATATCTATTTTTACATAATTAATATCTAGATTTATATTCATATGAGTTTATACTTATCAACATAATAAATTCTATTGAGGAAGGAAGTGGGGCTGAACCCTGGAAACTCCCAACATTTTGAGAGTGAATACAGGAGTAAAAAGCAACAAGTAGACACAAAAAGTGGGCAAGGAGAAAAATCTAAGAGCATGTGGCATCCTAAAAGCCAAGAGAAGAAATGCTTCCAAAAAGAGGGGATAGTCAACTGTGTGTGTCAAATGCTACAAAGATACAAAAATAACAAGACAAAGATAACTAAATAAGACTGACCACTGGATTTCAAAGCTAGGAGACTGGTGACCTAGATATGCAGCAGACAGTTTTGATATAATCCTACCAGAAGGGGTTACAGCAAGAAAGAGAGATCAGGAAGTACAGAAAACAAATGCAAAGATTTTGGGGTACTTACATTCCATTGAGAAAAATATGGAGTAATAGCCACAGAGGTTATGTGGTGGGAGGAAAGGGGAGTCTGTTTATTTGGTTTCACATGGGTCACCCTTTGGTTTATTGAGAAAATCTAACTAGAAAAGAAAAAAAATTAATGATATAGAAGAGAAGGCTAACTAATAACACCAAGTAGTGGAGAACAATAGGGCTTGTGGACTGTGCAAGGACCGTTTACCTGTCCACAGACAGGAAAGCTGAATGGAGGTACACACACAGGCAAGAGTGCTGATAGAACAGGAAGGAAGTTTAGGGAAATCCTGTCTGATTGTTTTAGACAAGGAACTTCAACATTTAAAAGAAAGAATAAAGGATAAATCAAAGATATTTCCAAAATTATCATCAGAAGAATGGTGGTTCCAGTAATAAAGTAACCCTGTAGCTTCCACTGTCCACATGATAAAACAGACTTAAAGAGATTAAGAAGCATGACTTGGGATCTAAGCAGTCTGAATTCAGAGCTCAACCTATAACCTGCAACTGCTTTAAACCCCCTATTGCCACATGTGTATGTATACACACACACACACACACACACACCCTAGTGTCTGTAGTGTGGTGCTATCAGAAAGCTCCATACGTAGACTATCTTTTTGTGAGAAAGTAAAATAAGGAGGCAACTTTGCTAAGCTGTTTCTGACTATTTTTCCCTCATTTACCATTATTAGCTTTAATTTCAGAAACTATTTTTTTGTCTTCAGAAACACTCAATAACTAATATCACTAATATACTAAATTTTATCATCCCATCTCCTAACAAACCTTTAACTTGGCTCTTTATTATTATTCTCTCAAATGTACATTGGGAGCTCCTTGACTATGACTGACTAAATACCAGGAACACCTTGAAAACCACTCAGTATCTCAGTGTTAGAAACCCAAAGTAGGAGACCTGCTTGAGGAGGGCAGGGTCCCCCATCACATGACACCCTGGCATGGACAACAGGAAGGTGAAGTTTTAAAGGGAGACTTTGATGTTAAAAACACTCACAAAGAAAATAAAATAATTTATTTAATAATAATACCTTAGATATAATTAACATTTTATTTATTAAGCCCAGAAAAAAAAAAAGAAATGAGCTTGTTGGATAGACGAAAAATAAAAATAAATTATCAATACTTCCTGCCTCTCCAAAATTGAGTCTGCCTGTGCTCAATCTGAAAACTCATGAATACGTATCAATTAACCATCACAGCTTAATATAAGTTTTAACAAACATATTTCTCCACACACTTTAAACATGTTACATATCCTTAAGGATGAAAAAGTATTTAAAGTATCTTTTAGCTTTAAATAAAACAGCTTTAAAGCTGTAATAAAAGAAGTTACCAATTAAAGATCATTTGCTGAATAAGTGCTCCTTTTGACTTTGTAAGTTCAAGGAGAAAAATTCCTGAAAAATCTACATTCTATTGTCTGATATGTGAAAAAAAAAACAGTTAAAGACATAAAAAAATGTACATCTAATGTTAATTATCTCCAAGTAGAAACTTGTACTGTGAGAATCTTCAGAGAAAAGCCACAAAATGGAAATGATTCTGGGAAAATATCCTAATGGAGAACAGTATCATGTAGAACAACCTCCCAATGGCCACTAGTGTAATACCTTGGTAGGAAACATCTCCTAAATTACCACAAGACAGAGACGTCTCAGGGTTACACTTTTTAACCTTTCCATTTCTGAAAATCAAGAAACCATGTTATAAAGGAACAAAAAAGGGAAAGTCTTTAACTAACTTAGCAAATTATTTAACTCTGGATAATGAATTCCCAAAAGCCCCATGGAGCATGAGGAGGAAACCTGGAAGTAGCACATGATGATTTTATTCTCAGTCTATCAAATCAGAGTTTAATTTCAACAATGAACTTATGAAACAAGCAAATCTGAATGAAAACATTACTGGTCTGAAAACAAAGGCCCCTGCATCAACACACATCTTATCTTCTCTTCTCCAGTAGAACATATGATTTTGTAAAATTTATGCATCTGTATTTAAGTTAGACCAATGACCCAAAACAGTAGAGCAGTTAAAGATGCTATGGTACAATTATTATTGCTATCTTATTTTTAAATAAGGCACATTTATTCCTACAAAAATTTTGCTCAAGTCCTTCTAAGATGTACAAATAAATACATATATTTGATCTCTAAAACTCCACTAAAGGAAAAAGTAAGTCATTTTTTTTCATTCATTCATAAATATCAGATACATGCATAATAAATACCCAGATACATGCATAATTTTTTTACATCACATCCCCCTGGACCGTTGGTAAAATAGCACATCCCCATCCCCATCAGATTATTTGTGAGAATGTAAAGAGAGCAATGATCCTTTCAACTAGAAACAGGAGAGGTGGCTTGCAACTGGGTTCCTCAGAATATGTATCCTCAACTTCCGAATGGAATCCCTGTTCATCTGAAAGAGGTTGAGCTGCTTCATGACGCCCCCAGAGCATGAATATGTAAGACACTTTCCATTTCTGTTGTCTGTCCTTCTCTATACTGTCTCTAAAGTTTCCTCTATCAAATGAAACTGGTAGAGATTGCTCAGGGGCTAAAAGGACACATGGATGACCAGGGTCACCTCTGTGGACAACAGGACTTAATACTTCTGCTTTGGGAATTAGGTCAACTATTGCTTTTGCTTTACCTACTCTACTTCTCTACATATTATAAACTTGCCTTTACCTATTTCATCTTTTTTTTTTTTTTTATTCAGTCACTAATCTTTCTATGTGATTTCATTACTGCTTTAACCCATGCCAGCGCAACCTGTACTATATCCCATCTATAATCATGTTACTTGATGAACAAAACAGAACAATAAAACCATCATTTGTAGTAAAAAATACCTAAGCCAGTAACCATACTTTCTTAATTCTCCCAATAAACCTAAAAAGAAATTCCCATTTTGTCAATAAAGAAAATAAGATTTGAAGACATTAAATAACTTGCCCCAAACCCAATACCCTGAAAATAGTTGATCCATCAGACTCAAGAGATACACTTTAAATAGTTGTGATTTTATGCAACCATCAAAACATAAAATGGGTAAAGTTTAGATCAGTGTTTCTGAGATGTGCATGCTATGCACTTTATTTTCCAAAGGTAAGCATTTTGCAAAGTTGGCATGAGAAGATTACTATAGGGTTTTAATCTGGATCAAATAGCAGAATGCCTCCCTGAAAACTGAAAATGAGATTGTGTTCTAGGAATTAAGCTAACAATCAACAAAGGAATTCAAACAAATACAAATAGGTATCTTGAGCATGGACAAGCTACCAGGGCCAATAGGCATTGACTATGCCCATGGGAAGGTACTAACAGATTTAAACAACATGTACTTCAATGGGAAGCATGGCAAATCTCAGAGTTTTAAATAGAGGCAGTAATTGAAATGTGTATACCCATCAATAACCTATGGGAGAAGTCAGGTAAGGCTAAGCCAGTAGACCACTTGCCAGATAAATGGAACTAGACATGCAAGATTGGACTGCCTAAGGCTAACACAGTAACACATTACACTGATATGTGCTTCACTCCTCTCTGAAAAGGGAACTAAACCACAGGAAGAGAACATGCTATCTGGGCAATGCCAACATTTGCTTCATCTGATGACATTCATCTAGTGATAAAAGCCTCTGTGAGCTCTACTGGCCAATGGCCACTGACAAATTCACCAACACTACACGTGGAGCCACTATAGGTAATTCTTTTTCAATTTTGAATGACAAAACTACTGACTCCATTTTTATTTATGTGTATTTACCTTTTGGCCATCTCTCCCTGGTTCTCCTTTGTAACCTGGTAGTCCTTGAGAGCCCTAAATTAACCACAAAATTAAATTCTGTTAATCATGTCTTTGGTTCACTAAAAGTGAGATTTATAAACTGTGTACAAATGGATCACATACTTGCATTCCTGGAGGTCCTGGAACACCTGGTGATCCTGAGATTCCCTGATATCCCTAAAGAAAAAGAAACAAATAATTGATATTTCATCATATTTACAAAGAATAGCTTTCCATTTAGTATTCATTCTTTTCTCAAGTTTCTCATACTTAAAACTTATATAGCAAAGCGTAAAATACTTAATAAAGCATGCATACCCTCTAATCTTAATGAAATCCTTTGAAAAACATATAGAAAAAGGTTTTAAGTTTCTCTAGATTAATAAAAAAAATCCACAGATTCTTTAATTCAAAGGAAGATTTTGGCATGGAAACACTGAGTCAATGTTCTACAAATACAGAGCTCCTAAAGAAACATTCTGCACATTAGAAGCACATTCAACACATTTAAGAGAAAAACACCTAAGAATGTTAGAGGATTAGACACATGTAAAACATTTTTGAAATTGCCTGATTAATGATAATCTATTAATCCTCGGAATTAAGTAAATCTTGATGAATGTTATTCTTTACATTAAGTCTAGAACTACTTTTGGATTACTCAGTTTATAAAGCCACTGTTAAACCCAGGAATGTGGCTGTAAAATGTTCCCCCTCAATACCCAAAGCAGTTGTCTGCTAAGGGTGGGAGAAGAGGGGAGTCACTTTTAACTCCACTGCTTCTTACATGTCCCTCCAAAAACTGGACCATTGGTAAAATAGCACTACTCTTTCAGACAGAAGCAAATTATTCATCTTCACTCAGCACTGGGGAACTAATGTCTTCACAATCTTTAAAACCCTGAATATTTATTTAGGTTTCCTGGGGCCAACATCAGGTTAATTTGGACCACTTAGCACCTATAAAGACATTTAGTACTCTGTCAACTTCTGTCTTTTTCTTCTCTGTTGGGATACAAGTAGCCATGGTCAATAGTATTAACAGATATCTCATTCAGTTTCCAAGCACATCTCCATTCTTAAATCCAAAAGCTTCAATTCCATGTGGTATTCATGTGTGTATATTCTAGCCTTCACAGTCACCCACTCACTTGTCAGTACAATCTTAACTATAATTTTAGAGACATTATAATTCCCGGCTTTTCTACTCATATTTTCAAATATCCCTTCTAATAGTCTTTGCTGGCTGTAACAATAATAATAATGGTCATCTTGGAAAATTCAATCTTAGATTATTGTTTTTCTCCCTTTACACAGATTTACATTTCCTGTCTTATAAACTGCTTTTTCAGTCACTTCCAGAATAGAAGTGACTATTCTAATAGTATAAATAGTAAAAATTAGTAATAGTAAACATTTTTTATTGTTAGACTTTTTATTAGCAACCACCATCTTCTCCTTCATACCATATTCAATACTTCACATTATTATGTTTTCTCCATGATTTCTCAAATTCAAAATTTTCTCAAGTCCCTTTGTCCAATCCTCAAATATTTCACTTCACCAGACAATAATTGGCCTCATAATCAACTTTTCCATACTCTATACAAGGCAACCAGCAATTTTCAAGCCCACCATCTGCTCTTTGGACTGGCAGTGTTTCAGTGTCAGGGATTATGTATCCCCTTGAGATGATGAACTAAGTCCAACTCATCTCTGTATTTACAGCACTGAACACATTCTTAGGTATATTTTTGTTGATCAAACATTGGAAAAAATTATCTTATGGTTATCCACGCTACACGCAAGCACGTAAAATCTCTTTGTGTTACGTTTGTGTAGTTTACAGTATAAAATTTAGTAATACACTGTAGTTCATGTTCTAAAGATCAGTCAAAAGAAAGAATAAAGTCCACATTCCTAGAGCTTTCTCAGACCTCTCTATCCCTCTTTTCTCTCTGAATTTCCTTCCTTCCACCACTTTGGAATAAGATATAACTGAAAATAAATTTCAACTCTGTCACTGCTATCAATGAGCAGAATTAGATTATTTATAAATGCCACCACTTAGAATGACTTTCCTTTCCTTTAAAGACCTTTATGTGTTCTCTGGATAATCCAACATGATTTACAACAGGCTCTTGTAATGGGGGGGCAGGGAGAAAACAGCAATTATTTATATCATATTTATCATTTCCACACAGAATACTTTCTATCTATCAATACTCAAAACCATTCTTTAATGTAGATTTTACAGTATACCCATTTTCAGATTAGGAAATGAAGGCACAGAAAGTTAAGTAACTTGCCTGAAGTTATAGAGTTAGTAACCTGGCAGAGACAGTGGGAACAACCTTTATCAGAAAATGCTTCAGAGGGGATCAGATCTGACCATTCTAGAATGACTCATCAGATTCACAGAGGTCCATTTTTCCAGATTCTTTTTAAACTGTTTACAATTGTGAATGCCCAGAGGAAAGGAATGTTCATAAAATTCCTCAAAAGAAAGTTACCAAGGAAATTGGCTATTGATCAAAATGGTTGGTCATCTGCAAAGTTCACATTTAATGAACTATTTTTCCAAAAGTTAAATCAAATGTCATATCTGCTTTATGACTTTTAAGAAAATTAATATTTTATTATAGAGCCAAAGCTGCTATTCTGTCTCCCCTCTTTGAGGAGGTTGATTGGATGTATTTGATATAGAGGATGCATCCTTTTATAATGGGATTTAAAAAATGTGGAGATGCCCCAAACTTATTCCCAGCTTACCTCTGACTCATCATGTGACCTCAGGCAGAGTCATCAAATCCCCCAAATCCTGGGAGGCAACACAGTGAAGTGGAAAGACAATGAATTTTGAAATTGGAAAAGACCTTGGGCTGAATTTTTGCTCCTCCCTTTACTTTCTATGGGATTTTTGGCTAAGCCACTTGGCCTACCAAAGGCTTAGTTTTATACCACAAGATACAATAATAATACCCACTTCACTTTTGAAAACAAGTAAAGTGCAGTCACAGGTGAAGATGTCTGGCAGATGTTAAGAATTCAATCAGTGAGTATTTCTTTTCTTCAGACTCAATGACTAAAGTCCAAAACCACAAGAACACATTGTTTTGCAGAATGTTACTCTATAAGTTTAATAGCCATCTTTAGTGCACTGGGAACCAAAGGTCCCATCATCCTCATTCTGATTTAAGCCCTTTCCACATTTACACTGGACTATGCTGAACATACAAACATGGTCTCAGTGTGTTTCATGACAACTGCTTATCTGTTTGGGGAGGAAATGCAATGTAAGAATAATAAGCATTTCCCACAATATGAGAGTGTTGTGGGATATGTCTTCTTTAAACTCACAATGAGATGCATCTCTGAAATCTTAGCTGCAGAAAGAAATTCAAAGATTATTTTAGAAGTGAGAGGAAACATGCTTAGTAACAAAATAAAGAAAACCATAACCACATCCAACCTGGGTGATCCCAAGGCAAAACTCCAACAGAAACTGGACAAAATTCAGAGAGACACATTTTGGGCGAAAAATCAGGAAAATAAAGGTTAGCAGGGAAGTGCACAACAATTTCCAAGAGGAGCAAGGAATAAAACATTGGTTGACTCATACTAGGGTATACTAAAACAAGAAAAGTACCCTAAAATAGGAAAAATCATAAGCTTTTTCTATATTCTGAGATTTTTTTTTAAACATGAGTGTCTGTGTTTCATTTACAACCGCATCTTTCCTATCATATTCTGATATTAATTTTACAATTTTGTAATTATTAGCAGATCCAAATACCCACCCCACCCCCACCCCCACCCACAAGATTTCTGACAGCACTTAGGTCTTTTCCATGTTCGGTCTCTTTGTAAATGAGTCATATTTTAGGGGAAAAAAATTCTCACTGCCAAATTGTAGGGTTTAAGGATACAGAATCAATTTAATTTTCTTCCATGATTCATAGTTGCATTGCTCCAGAAAATATATATAGCATTGAAATAGATATTAAAGAAAACAAAATCTTCAAATGTGCCAGGGTCACCATTTTTTCTAAGCCTAATTCTAATCATTACACACAATATCTACTTAAACTAAATTTTCAAAGCAGTGAGGAGGATAAATCATTTTCCTTTAATATTATAAACTTAAAATGAGAACAAATTCCAGATAAATTATTTTGATCTCACCCTTCTTTTAAAAATGAAAGAATGTGATTTCAAGCTTCTTTTATTACATAATTTTCTTCAAATTTTTCCAAAATTCCAACAGATACTCTTTGGTAGGGAGTCAGGGAAACTAGGTAACAAAAATCAAGTGTGTACTTTTAATGTCCTCTGTGGGTTTTCTAGTCTGGCAAAGTTCCTAGCTCTGTGCAATGGAACTCCAAGAAAATTCAAAAATCTTTGTCTTTCCAAGTAAAACTAACATAAAAACTAATTTCTTTGTTACCTAACTCAATTATTAGATAAGTGTTTGATATGATTTAACTAATTACTCAAATTAAATAACAGACCAATACATACAGAGTATATGAGTAAATGAATGAATATGTAAGCAAACAAACAAATGAATATATGTAACAATTATACCTGAGCTAAGTTTTAAGGAAAACTGTGATGCAATGGGAGGTAAAGCATAAGCAGTAAGAGGAAGCTTTGCTAATAAACAAGCTCAAAGGAATAGAAAATGAAGAACAATTCACAAGAGGATGCCCTTCAACATACCATGTGGCAAGATAGGATAAACCAGGTCCACAGAGCTAGAAAGACAGCAAGCTAAGGAAGTCTGAAATAATAGAGTGGAGGTTACCTGTGCGGCTTGTGAGTTTTAAGGACTATGATCTTTATCCAAGCCGCTAAAGTCATTTAACGAAGGAGGGTCACACAATCAGACTGAGCTCTGAAAAGATCCCTTGCTACACTGTGGAGGAGATCACAGGGGACAAGGGATAGCCATGGACACCAGATGGGAGTCTCCTGCAGGGAAGAAAGAGTAGGAGGCTCAACATGAGGCAACTCAGTTGTATGGGTTCTAAGATGATGACAGGTTGAGGGAGGTAGAGATTCTGCAGTTGTGAAATGATGCCCAGGTCTCTAGCCCCTGCCACTTCACTGCTGATGATACCACTGATGAAGAGAGGCACTCTGGAGGAAAATATAGTTGAATTGGTGGCAAAGTT